GGGGGGGGGGGAGGGAAAGAATGTAACATGAAGTAGAAATTTTAAAATAAAATTGTAAAAACTGGTCATTTCGGCTGGTAATTCTAGTGTTAACATTCTTCCAAAAGACGGTGAACCGGTGGACAGATTAACAATTATACTCTCGACTCTTGATCGGAAAACTGGAACAGTTCGCGCGAAGAAGGTCGTGCAAAAGGCAAACAGCAGGCTACCGTTCCAGAAACTCGATCAAGCTTTAAGGACCTTATTTGAAATTGATGCACGCGGTTGCAGTCGACCGTGCTATCCATTTGCCATCCAGCCGCGAGAATCTTCTTCTTCTTAGTCAGGTTGCTTGCTATTTTGTCAGGCGACGGCTTGAAATAGATACTCGGCCTCGTTCACCCGACACGTCACGCCATGAAAATATAGGTGTGCAGCACTTACAATTGGACGCGCGTGGCGCATATTAGAACACGGCTGTTAGAAATGCACGTCAGATACAAGGATTGTCTGTTTCCCTCGAGACAGAATCGTAGAGGCGGCAGGATAGAAATGTGCCCGGCATTTCGTAGCGCGAGAGACATCTCTTTGACATCGTGGTGATCAGTCGTTCAATTTAATTGAAGAAAGAAACGTAACCAAATACTTTTATACGCACCAACGTTCAAAAGTAAAGTGGATAGTAATTTAGTTATAGAAATTATAAATAAAACTTATCTACGAGCTGTCATAGAATGTATTGCAACATGATAAGATTTAATATATTTTTTCATTATCTACCTATTAGCTAAGGATACGTAAGCTATCCTCCCAAAGTGGCAGAGAGATTACTGTGACTTGTATAATAGTGACAATAACCATTTAGAATCAGCTAATACTTTGACGAGTAATTTTACATACATAGAAATTGAAATTTTCCCGGTGATTTTGTTAGCTATTACAATACGTGTATACATGTACATATATAATACAAATGGATCGAACGTACTTATAAACGGTAACGTATCCTACGAGTTTTAATAATTTTTTGGCCATCGTAGCAAAGTCACATATAAAAAAAAATAAATTTATATGTACTTTATATATACATTTATATGTAACACTGTAGTGGGTCTCAAAAATCATATTGCTGGCGCATTCACTAGTTCCCCAACTCACCGTTGTTTAAACATAGAGTGCGCTAAAAAACCGTGATTTTTTACTATGTCGGTATTTCAGGTCACGAGCCACGAAATCTCGTAAGATGCTTAATCTATTCATATATCTCGTCGGTAATATAGGGAATTTCGTATTTAATGTTCTGAATTACCGACCTCGGAGAATAAAAAATATTGAAAGGAAAATCCAAAAATGAAAATAAACTTAAATCCTAAACTATGATTATAACACTTACAATGTTTCTTATTAAGTTCCTACTTTAAAGATACTCTATCTAACCTAATTTAAATCTAGCTTAATTTAAATATAGAATTAGTTAAGAATTTAATTTTAAAAATTCCTATCTAATTGGAAATCTAAATCTCTAACAATATTTTCAATAACAAGCTATCTCATAATGGACCGATCTTAAAGCATTTGGTGATGGCTGAAAAAAGAAGAAAAAGAAAAGCAGAAATATATGTGACTCACTCAGAGTAGATCTGAAGAAACGTTGTCATCGAGAAGTTATCGCGAAGAAGGAATAAAGTCTGGAAGAAATCTGCAAAAAGCAAGAAATATTATAATTGTAATATTATTATTATTACAATAATATTAGAACTATTCAAAAATTAATAATAATAATAACAAGATATCTGAACATCGATTGTTAGAATTTCAAATCTTATTTTGTACTAATCAAATATGGCGCGCTTTTATTGTCAATTGCTGCGCAGAAAACGAAGCTGCGCAGTATTCAAAAAATGCGATGCGCAGAAGTTCAAACTTGTTCGTGGTCATTAACAACGTAAATTCATCAAATAATGTTACAAATAATGTTTTCATTAAAACAAATCAAATGCTCCTTACCTCCATGAAAGAATGTCAGCTTCGTCACTAGTCAGCATTGGCATTTCTTTGAATTTCACGGCGGCCTTCTAACACATTATATTTGCAATCATCCACCAATCTATATAAAAGAAAAGCGAAACGTTCAAATAAACACATAAAAGAAACAAATTAGGTAAGAATAAAATGATCAACAATACAATGCAAGAAGAAAGAACAATTTAGTTATAAATTATATAGCAATATTCGGTAGATTATTAAATAAAAACGTACGCAAGTTAAATGTAGTTAACAAGCAGCGTGGATGTGAACAATGGAAGGAAGACGACGAAAGTATTAATAAACGCACAATTAATAAACGCGACGCGAAACGATACGTGTCAACAACATGACTTTCAACCGTAGACTAACCCCGCGCAACAAGTTACGTCACGAGCGCGAGGGGTGGGGGAACGAACACGAACGAATAGGATTCGTTGATTTATGGAAAAACAAAATATTTTACGAGAATATTTTAAACAATAAGAATTTTAAAACTAGCGACTTGCACAGAGAAATACTTTTTATTTCTCATACGAAATACTAATATATCATTGATAGATCTGAATTAAAAGAGAAAAACCAAAATATTAATAACACATTCACTTATTCAACGTAGAAAAATTTAATTTATTTCAATTCCAGTATTTACTTTATTCGATATAATGCACACATATACCTCTGCTGTGTAGTGGTAGTATCGATCTTGCTACAGTAGTTCTGTGCATTACTATTAGAGGGCAGAACAAATGATTTTGAGACACACATATATGCATTTGTCATAACATTAAATTAAAAAAAATATTAGAATAATTTAGTATCACAGTATTATAGAATTAAGGAATTGAAGATTTTAATAAACTACTGTGTAATTTACAAATGTTGAGATTGTTTAAATGTAAATAAAAATATGAGTACACAGAGAGGAAATTCTAACCGATCAAGACCACAGAAACATCAGAATCAGACTGCTTTTAAAAATGATTTACATGACAAATCAAGTAAAACAAAATATATTAATAGCATAGAAGTTGCGCACGTATGTGAGAAATGTAAGAACATAATTGAATGGAAGATCAAATACAAAAAATACAAACCATTAAAAGCAGCTGCAAAATGTATCAAATGTGAACAGAAAGTAATAAAACATGCTTATCATAATATGTGTTTATCTTGTGCTGCAGAATATAAAGTCTGTCCAAAATGTGGCAGTAAAGGTGACGTTGTTAAAGGAGAACCTAGTAAAGAAGAAATTGCAAAATTAGATGTGGAGTTACAGAATTTGCTCAAGGGATTATCTGAGAGAAAACGTAGAACGTTTATACATTACATGAATAACAAAGGTATTTTAATTATAATGTAATGTTATATATATCTAAGTAAAATAAATTGAAATGCATGTTATTTTTCAGCTACAAATAAGAAAAAGAAATTCATCAAGGAAAACAAGGAAGAAGATACAGATGAAGAGAATAACTGTATCACAAAAGATACATTGTCCAAAGAAAATTTATTATTGAAATTAAAATCCCTAATAATTAAAGAAGATGATGATAACTCGGATGTTGATAATGATAGTGATTCAGATTTGTTTTTATAGAAAAAATAAAACACATACAATTTATTATTTTATATTTTTTGAATATATTTACAACAACCTTGTCAATATTTCCATAACGTAATTGATGAACTATTTTTATGAAAAGAAAATTATTTTGAAATGTGCAATATAAATTTTGCAATTCTTATTGTTAGAATAATTTTTGGAGTATATCGATTTACATATCGATATCGGAAAGCTCATTTCACATGACAAACGTAACCTCATCTTTAAGCGTGTACATTATAAACAACAGTACATTTGAAGCATTTGTTATATACATCAAGAAAAAATAGTGTCAAAAAAATTCGGTCTCATAACATAATAATTATTAATTGTATTCCAGTGCTGAAATTTTCATTATAATTAACATGACATCGGCAATAGAATCTATGGTGGTAGATGAAAAGCAATTGCCAGAAAAGCCCATAGACAGAGAAAAAGTACGTTTCATCAAGAATGCAAAATATATCAATTGAAAATTGACTTTTTCAAATTCTAATCAAATTGCTCATATTATCATGTAATTTTTTTTATTTTTATAATTTAATATTACATTTTTAGACATGTCCACTTTTACTCCGAGTATTTTGCAATACAGGGAGGCATCACAATATAATGGAATATAGTCGAGGAAATGTTCCTTCAAATGAATTACAAATATATACATGGTAAAATGTCCTTACTTAGGTATTTAAATTTAACAAAAAAAAAAAGAAAAATAACATTTATAAAACCTTTATTTCATGCATTTACAGGATGGATGCAACTTTAAGAGAAATTACAGGATTAGTAAAAGAAGTAAATCCAGATGCTAGAAGCAAAGGAACATACTTTGATTTTTCACTAGTAACGCCAGAATTAAGAAATTCTGGATATCGTATGAGAGAGATTGGTGTCACTTGTTCTGGACAAAAGGGTGCAGATGATAACAAGACACTTGCTCAAGCAAGGTATGCTTTTTTATAAATAAAGTGAATCCTAAATAAACTGAACTTATTCTTACAATTACAGATTTACAATTGGTGATTATTTAGATATATCAATAACACCACCAAATCGACAACCAGCAATCAGACGTGGTGCGCTACGTCAATATTGACTTAGACAAGCAACAGTTGACTAAGACAACAATTTTATTCTTTGTAAGTTATGTTAACAATGTATTAGTTTTGTATTAATAAACAATATATGATACTGAAATTATGATTTTATATAAACACATCACTTACTTTCCCCATTTTGTAAAAATTAAATGCTTATTTATAATTTTATCATACTTTTTCATTTATTAATTATTAATATAATTAATAAATCTAATATAGTAATATTAGTATTAACTATTATTTTTACCAAGTATTTCTACCTTGTATAAAAAATTTTATATACACTTTAAGCAGTTTAAGCATTGTACAAATTGAAATTATTGAAATCAACTTTATATATAAGTAAAAGTGTCAATAACTGTATAGACAAAGTTTCAAGTTAATTCATAAAATAATAATTTTCAAACAAAATGATCAAAATTTCGTTGCAAAAATCTTATTATGTGTTTATTTTTCAATTTCATTTTATAATTTCACTTACTGTAGTAATGTTTAATTAGTATAAATGCTCTGAATATGGCTTTTATAACATTTTCATTCAAATTTCAGATTATTAATAATTTTTATTTTTGTATTGTATTGTGTTATAAATTATATTTTTTATATATTCTTCATTATAAAAAATGGAGAATAAGGAAAATAAACCAAAGTTGTTAAGTTGTATGATAAAAGGTAAGATTTCGTAATATTATTAAAATAATTAATTACAAATTAAAAACATTTTTATATTTATTCAACTTAATTAAAGAATATATATAATTGTAAAATAAAATTTGTAGGTCCTGCTCCTATATATAAATTACAAACTTTGGTTGGATATAAAGATCATTGTTTGTCTCGACCAAGAGGTCCAGCATATACTATCAGACCTCAAACAAAAATTCATGTACCAAGTTTTGGACCAGGTCCACAATATAATATTTCAAAATTAACAAATTATGGAGCAGATAGTCCTCCTGCATATACAATAGTTAGTAGAAAACTATTAAAAGGTAGCTAAAATTATGTTGTTTAAGCACAATAATTTGATACAATTTAAGCACAATATTTTTCACAAAAAGTCATTGTTCTCTTTTCAATGTAGTGAGAGATTTTGGACCAGGACCGGGAGCACACTACCCAGAATTATGTCCCCCAATGAATCACAATATTAGAGCTCCTGCTTATAGTATTAAATCTAGAAGGAAAACAAAACTGGAAGACATCGGACCTGGTCCAAATGCATATATTTTACCAACCACCATAGGACCAAAAATTCCTGATAAAATAGCTCAAAGTGCTTTTTCCTTGTACGTATATAAATTTGAAATTAATATTGAAAAATTATGTTTAAAATTATGTTTTGATTTACAACATTCTCTTTAATATATTTCATTTATATAGATATCAAAAATAAGCATTATAAAATATATCGTAATGTTTTACTATTGCAGTTCTGGTATTCACAAACTTAGAGAAAAAGATGTTGGTCCTGGTCCAGCAGCTTACAAGCTCAATTCAGATCTTGTAAAACGTAGTTCTCCAGCATTTAGTGTAAAATGGAGAACTAAACTAGCAGATGTAGATATAACTCCAGGACCACAGTATTATCCTAAATATGATACTGGAAGACGTCCCCCTATGTACTCTTTTGGTATAAAACACAGTGAATGTGTTGGTATACCTATCACAAATTTGGACGAAGACTGATACATTGTGAATTTTATGAATTATTACAGAGCTAAGAAAATGATTTTATATTTCTGTAATGTAATTTTGTATATATTATTTTACATATTTATGATGCCATCTTCATGTAATTTTATATATATATATATTAAATATATATTTATTTTATATCAAACTTTCATAAATTTCTAACATTAATTCAGTGTAAAAAAAAATTTTTAATTAATTGATTAAAGAAAAATATTATATATCTAAAGCTATCAAATTTATTAAGCTAATATAATTTTTATGCACGCTTCCAACTATGTTCGTGCATAATTTTAACTCCAATCTTGAATATAGTTTGCAAGAAATTAAATATTATTTTTTAATTATATTTCTTTATTATAATTTCTTCAATTATATATATAATTATTATAATATACATATATACAAGGATAGCTTGTGCATAAACATATGCGGGACTGCAGCAGCCCCAATTTTTTTCAATTAATTTACTTATCTAAATATTGTAATATTTAATTTTATCATCAACAATCCTATACATTTCCCTTATTAAATATAAAAAATAATAAAAATCCACTGTATTTACAGTGTGTACGTATATTTCGAAAATTGCAACCCCACCTCTCAAGCCACGAGCTACCATTATATATATGTATATTTTGTATGTATGTATATATACATATATATTTTATTTAGTTATATTCAATTGCTAGTGAATAATTTTCTTTTTTCGCTATAGTTTGCAAACGTGCATGGAATATAATTTTTGTAATAATTTAATTATAATCATGAATTTCACAAACATCTCATGCAATTGTTTGGATTTAAAATGGACTGACTAAAGTAATACCACCCATAATTTTTCAGCAAATGTAAATTATCAAGTACAAAAATGCCACCAAAACCAGATACACAACTAGAAACTAAATCAAAAGCTAAAGTAGATAAAAAGATAGGAAGTCTTATATGCGGTTTTAAAAGTAAGTATTTAAATATCATTGCATTACATAAAAAGACATTTCTCAAATATTAAATGCATATATAATACATCAAATTCATCTTTACGTAAAATTAGTTTTAAAGTTTTACTTATTCAGGTCCAGGACCGAAATATCACCTTAAAACATTGGTCGGTTTTAAAGAGCATTGTTTTTCAAAATATCGAAATCCAGCATATACATTTGGTTATAGGCGTCCTAGTTTACGAAAATGTGAAGTACCAGGACCAAAATACGTATTTCCAACGCCCAAACCTGATGGTTTTTCATTTGGATTAATTAGAAAGACTTTCGGTATCTTATTTTATAGAATAGAATAAAATTAAAACTATTTTGAATTTTTTTATATACACACAAGATTGAATTTTATGACAAAAATGGTTTATATCTAATTTATATATAATTATCGCGAATTGTAATTGTATCAAAATTATATTTGCACTTTCCTTTTTCATTAGATACTTCTTGCGGTCCTGGCCCAAAATATTTATTACCATCTTCAAAAGGACTAGCTTTTACAATAAAATTCAGAACTAAAGGAAGACAACTTTGCCTCGGACCAGGTCCTTATAATGTAAAAACTCCTGTACCATGTTCATCTTTTTACATGTAAGTACATACTTAGATTGTGATACTTTAAATATGAATATTTTACATGTATGAATATTATTTTACATGTAAGTACATACTTAGATTGTGATACTTTAAATATGAATATTTATTCATTTTATTGATGACATACGTCCTTTCTGAAAATAATATATAGCATCATAGAAATTATTTCTATCAATTTATTTGTTACATTATTTTTAGAGGACGTCGTCTACCTGGTTTAAAACGTGATCCTACACCAGGCCCCAAAGCTTACAGTGATATATTGGTCAAACAAAGAGTACCAGCATACCATATAACTGTCAAAAGAGATGAAAAAATAACTTGTCCTTCTCCAGGCCCTAAATACTATCCTAAAACTCCTAAACCAATGCCTATGTATTCCTTTAGAATCAAACATAGCGAATGTGCTCCTCCTTATATCGTTGAATGCGATAATCAATGTTAAGACTTTGGCAATTGTAAATTAAAAATGTATACATTTATATATAACATAGCAAGATCTTTATTTGTAAATAAATAATTTAATAATTTTCTCTTATAATAAACACATATTAAATTCGATCCTGCAAATATTAATAAATTTATTAATAAATTTAACGACATACAATATAAAAATCGGATATTAAACACGTACAATTTTCAAATAAATACATTTTTATTAACATTTCTTATTTTACATTCAAACAATGGATATCATGAATTAACATGAATTATCCAATAAGGAGAAGGAACTTGAAAAAATGAGACTTCTGTTCTCTTTTTTCAATATTATATACTACTAAAATTCAAAAGCTTAATACTATAAATTTCTTTGTCATTTATTTTCTGTGCGCTTGTTTTATCAACTCTTTTGACAAACTAAATTTAGTTTATTGACATTTATTGTCAAAAGAATAACAAACCGAATGGATCAAATATAAGGTATGACAACTGTGGATAGGATTTGACATAATCTACAGATATAGAACGGATAATGAATAATTGAGGGCAGAGTGAAACATATTAAATGATTAATTCAGAGTATTGATTGTAAATAAAAATCTTTCTAGTACATACATGACCAGATGAGTAAAGATTTGGCTGTCCATAATAAAAATGTGCATTGTACGTGTAAAGTCTTCAAGAATATAAATTAGAAAACAAAAGAATTATTATTGCTGTGTTGCATTGAAGTCTTCACACGTTTATTCTACTGATTTTACAAAATTGGGAGACTCGTTCGGGTTGTTTAGTTATATGATCCATTGAAGATATAATGGATCATACAGGTGACTGTACAAATGAGTATAAATATACGTTGAAAAGCAGACCCTGTGAATACTGCAAAATTGTGTTCAATTATATGCAAATTCGAGTGTATGTTAAATTTGATGGCAATTGTTGGCAACGACAACATTTTTTATGGTTTAAGCAACAGAACACTGTGAGATGTGATATTACAAGAAGTTGCAAGTTGAAAACGTAGAGTATTGACAAATGCAGCAATTAACAGTGCAACTACAGTCAGTGCAACAGTTTCGTACTATTATAATTGCAGATGCATTAGATTTCTTTGATTATATCAATTCTATTTACTACAATGTGAGAGACAAAAAAATAATAATTATAAATTGGAAGATGATGCTGACAGTTTCAATATATTGAAAATTGTACTCAATCATCAAGCTTTGTACTCACAATGAACAAAAGAGATTTGTACGTGAATATTATTGCAACTGATTCGACAAAATTTATAATTATATTTATCTAAAAAAAGCAATAAATCGCAATCTGGCGCTTTCATTTCCAAAGCTATTCTAACTCTATTGCGAGCTAAGGGCCACGTAGAATGAGTAATAAATTAACAATAACAATAACATATGTATTTAAGTTTGGCACAAAGATTCTTAAATTTCACGCCAAATAGAAATACAGAAGTCAGGTCATTCGAATGTAAGAGTAAGTTAAAACATATTAAGATAATTTGATGAATTGAAAGAGAAGTAAAATAATGTGATGAATTGAAGGCAAAGTGAAATGATTGAAATTGATTGAAAAAAAGTGATTTTAAAAATACACAAATAAAATAAGAAAATTTACAATAAAAAAGAGGAAAAAATATTAGTTAATATATTGAATGACAATTGCAATACAAAGAACTCAATTAAAATTAGGACGAAAATCTGGTCCAAGATTTTGGAATCATACATAATAACAACAACCAAAGAATTTGAAACAATAATCTCATTATTGTATATAAGACAGAGACTCATGAATGTTCCCATGAATGTTCCCACTCATGAACATGATGAAATTCATTATTACCTGTGGATGATGAATGATTATTTTAAATATCAAATATTTAGATCAGAATGCTGATTACGAGTGAAGAGCGATTCCAAAACCGTACGTGAGACATGTATGAGTCCACGTGAAGATTTGGCTGTCTGTGTTAAGAACGTGCATGTAAAATGTCTCTAAGAATGTAATCAGATGAATCGTCGAGAAAATCGTGTTAGTATATTGTATTAAAGTCGTTGCGTTATGTTAAGCGTCGTGATTGTAAAGAACTGTTAAATATATCCATTTTATTTATTAAAGATTTCACACGTTCATTCGCTCAATCCACTGATCCTACACAAATAAATATATTTCCATCGTTGTAACCAATATTTGTAACGTCAAAGTGTAATTACACTTTCACGGCCTGCTCCCACTCCAATCCATTTAACTGAAATAATAACTGTAAATTTCGGGGGGAAAAAATGTAAAAGAGGCGTACAAGTTCTTAAATTTATATTACCTGGCACGCCAAGATGTTCTTCTATTAATTGTATATACTTTTTTGCGTTAGGAGGTAGTTTTTCCAGCGAACGTACGCCCTCTGTCGTTGATTGCCAACCGTCGAAGGTTTCATAAACTACTTCTACTTTTGCTAAATCGGAGGTGCTACTTGGAAAATAGTCAATATCCTTTCCATTTAATCGATAACCTACGCCGATTTGAATCTTCGGAAGCGTATCCAGAATGTCTAATTTTGTCAAACATATTGACGTATACCTGTAAAACAAATGTTACGCAAATTATATTCATAAAAGTACAAATAAATATTCACAATCACATAGGCGTCCCTTACCCGTTAACCATTGCGGTGAATTTAAGAAGAGTTAAGTCTAGCCAACCGCAACGCCTCTTTCTGTTCGTCGTGACACCAAATTCGTGCCCTCTCTTTTGTAAAAGCTCGCCTGTAGCATCCAAGAGTTCAGTGGGGAATGGACCATCGCCAACCCTTGTGGTATATGATTTAATAACGCCGACAACCTCCCCAATGTAAGACGGTGGTAATCCAAGACCGGTACAAACACCACCTATGCTGCAGTTAGAACTCGTAACGTAGGGATATGTACCGAAGTCTATGTCTAGCATCGCAGCATTTGCACCCTCTACTAATACTTTTTTCCCTTCGCGTAATGCCTGATGTAAATACTGAACCGTTTCCTTTACCAGCGGTCTTATTCTTTCTGCGTACCTAAAAACAAACGAAAAAGGATATTTTCATTAAACAGCTGTATGATTTCTTATATAAGTAACTGGATAATTTTCTGGATATTAATCGACTAATCAAATCACTCACGGTCGTGAAAAAAATCATAAAAATAGAAATACGTACTCTTTGTACCGCTGAAGCTCTGCTTTCACGTCGACCTGAAGCGCCGGGAACATTTTCTGATACGAAGTAACCAGCGTGTCGAACTTTTGCGAGAACTTGTCGAAGTCGCCGAGGAGATCGCCGATTCTAAGTCCATTCCTGGCAGCTTTGCACGAATACGTCGGTCCGATCCCCTTTTTCGTAGTACCGATAGACTGTGTGCCTTTTTCTAATTCCTGGAGGCCATCGACTTTCTGATGAAAATCAAACACTATGTGCGCACGATCGGAAATTATCAATCGTTCCTGCCAGTTTTTCAAACCTTTCGCTTCATTGCTTTCTAGCTCCTCGAAAAGACCTGGCAGATGTATTACTACCCCATTTCCTGAAGAAAAATTCATAACAAATATGGTATTACATATCATTGTAATTCTATTATAATTAATTGCAAAAATATTATTTCACTTTTGGATTCACATTTTTGCGTGTGTACTCTAGAATCTACAAACGGCGGACCATATCGAGGTGATCACCTCGAAGTGTTTCACTGTTGTTTCACGATAACATCGATCGTAAAGTGATTTATGCCGGTACGATATAAAAGAAAATGGTACATTCCTTATCATCTTTTAATCCCTAAATGCGCTTATACGTTTGTTGCGCTAAAAGCATTCTGACAGCGGTTTTATATATATATATATATATATATATATATATAATATTGTTATATATATATTATATTATGTTTTTTATATATTATGTTATATATACATTATATTATATATATATTATATATCTTGTTATATATTATATATATTGTTATATATATTATATATATATTGTTATATATATTATATATCTTGTTATATATTATATATATTGTTATATATATTATATATATATTGTTATATATATTATATATATATATAACGAGCAATAATTACATTATAACGTGACTAAGCATAAACTAGTTTATATATATATTATATTATATATAATGTTATATACATATATATTATATTATATATATTATATGTTATATATATTATATATATATATATAAAACGAGCAATAATTGCATTATAACGTGACTAAGCATAGACTAGATTATATATATAACGAGCAATAATTGCATTATAACGTGACTAAGCATAGACTAACATAACTGAGTTCTGCTTATATGTAGTTGACTCACTTACTAAAAATATCAAATACGGCATCACTAAATATAAAGTTGATCTTTTAAAATTACGTGCAGCTTTTTCACCGCCAATGTCCTTTGAGGATTCGCTTTTCGCCATTAAAACGTGCAACGCTTTGCTTAGTGTGTGCTTGAGGCTACAACTCTCTTACGTCCATGGTTGAATTACACGTGTGACTATATTGAATATCACTTCACGTAATAGTGAAGAAGATTCATTTCCATTCAAAAATACCGTACAAAAGTTTTATGTATCATCAACTTCGGTCGTGTAATGGCTGATTGAAAATATCTTCAAGAAACGTTTCTACATAAAAATGAATCTTCTTTTTTTTTATTTTTTTTATTTTTTTTAAGGTATAATCTTTTTTTAAAACAAAAAATTCCAAGTTAACGTGTCCCCTGCCGAGCCGTTTTCAAGTAAGTGCCAAATTTGGGTACCGTTTCCGGTACGCGTTATAAAAATAACCTGTGTTTCTTTTTCTTTTTTTTTTTTTCGCTCTTCGTGGAGTCAATTTAGCAGCAGAGTAAATATATGTTGAAAGTGAGAGAAATGGAGCAATTCCTCTGCTTTCGTGTTTGAAACGAGACACTCTACAAGTGGATCGCCCAGTGGATGTCGGAAATATTGGAAGATGATTTTTCTAGAAATCATTCGATCTTTGTTGTTTAAGAGGCTTCAAATCGCCGGAACGGAGAAGATAAAATTCCATAATTGGTGCGTAACGTGGAATCCGTGTTATCGGTATTCCTGGTATGGCTGTGATAAGCTTGGCGTTTAAACACCAAGCA